TTTGTTTAATGAAATGTCATTTAAATTGTAGAGCTAATCAATATGAATCAGCTGATATCTTGTTTTTAAATTTTGGTTGATTTATAGCAAAGTTATTGGCAGTTCAGCTTTCTGTCCCCGTAATTTTAATGGTCACAATGGAAAAGGGGTGTGGTCAAAAAGCGGTCCCCGGGGGCAGTGAGACCCAACTTTTTTTCTGTTAACATGCATTTTTTGAAAGAATGGACCCTAGCGTACATGAAAATACCAGATAAGTTCAGTAGTGGGTTGAGCATGGTGACCCATCCTAATGCACAGACGAAAAAGATGAAAATTTGCATCTTCTGTTGGGGTTGTGACCTTTTGAACCCCCCCCCCCCCGATGACATCATCAAGCAGATATTTGCTTAATGAAATGTCATGAACATCGAAGAGCTAATCAATACGAATCTGTTGATGCCTTGTTTTTAAATTTAGGTTGGTTTATAGCAAAGTTATTGGCATTTAAGTTTTCGGTACCCCTAATTTTTATGGTCACAATAGAAAAGTGTGTGGCCAAAAACGGGTCCCTGGGGGTCAGTGAGACCCAACTTTTTTTTTCTGTTAACATGCATTTTCTGAAAGAGTGGACCCTGGGGTACATGAAAATACCAGAGAAGTGGGGGCGGGGGGTGCATGGTGAGCCACCCTAGCCCACGGACTATTTATACTTTTCAAAATTTGTAATTTCTTCTTTTAAAATATTTTTATAGGTTCTCTTTTTTCTTGTGTTACCTTCAGTTTTAAGCTTCTGTTCCACTGTTTATCTTTAGCTAATCTTTTGCTACTCTTAATCTTTTATGCCACTTTAAGCTAACCTTTTGCTACTTTTTAGGTTCTAGCCAACCTTTTGACATTTTCAGTGTGCCTTTTCATACTTTTAGCTAGTCTAGTGCTACGTCTAGCTTTTGTTACTTTCAGTTTCTAATATTTTGCTATATTTATGTAGTTTTAAGCTGCTTCTTTTAGTTTCAGCTTCTTTCAGAAAAATCATTCAACCTCAGAATCAAACTGCATTTTTGCAGAAAATGTAATCTCTCTGGTCGTATTTTTTCTCAGAAACTCTCTTTATCATGTTTAATGAGAAAATTCTTAATTTTCGCTCCTGGCTTTGCTTCTGTTTTCTTTGAAGCACATTTCCTTTTCCTAAAATAAGACAGCATGGAGCCACCCAGAACATTTACAAACTTTAAATCCAAAACAGCAACACTCATTTATTGAACGAATCAATCCGGTTTGTTTGTTTGTTTGTTTGTTTGTTTGTTTGTTTGTTTGTTTGTTTGTTTGTTTATTTTAATGATGTTAACTCTAATTATACTCACTGCTTAGTAGACTGGGAGAAGCTGCCACACGCTCACAGTTTAGTTACCTGCCCTAAGAAAAAATACTTTATCCAAATTTGAAACTAAAATGGTTTGTTCCTTTTTAAATAATAAACCAAAACTTAATTTCCTTTATTAACCTGTTAAACGAGGTAAAACCCCATTGAGATCCAAATCTCATTTGCTAGAGGGACCTGGGCTAAAACTAATTTTTTTTAGGAATCAGCGTAAATCTGTTAATAGATGACAGTGTGATTTTGTCTAATCTGTGCAGAACAATTATGTTAATTTCAAAGCTAAACACTAAAAATAACTAAGTAAAAATGATATTTAAAGAAGCAATGTAGAAGGCCTAAATTGCTACCTAAAAGTAGTAAAAAGTTAGCTCACAGTTGAAGAAAGGTAAAGAAAAGCAGTAGTAGTAAATGAATTGCTAAATGCAGAAAAAGGAATGGGTGGAGGTACATTTTGTGAGGGATGGCAGAGGTGTGGCCATGCAAGGTGTTTTTAGTCACTTACAAATAAAGAATATCAAAGATGGTTGCCACAGCTATTTCAAAATGGCTTTAATTTGTTTTAAGAAACATTGAGCCAAAATTTTGTTTGACCATTTGATAATTAGAAAATCATACTGAATGCTATAGTCACAACTTATTATTCAGTCATTTTTAGACATACATAGCAGAAAATTTACATTGTATAGTAGTATCAGAGAACATATTGAACAAAATCTAAATGTAAAAATAAAATCCAAGTTCCCAACCCATCTGTCATTTTTTGGGGGGTGGCACCTGGGGTGGCCAGTTGGACTGGCAATTGCTATCCAGGCCACCCATCTGGCTCTCCCCATGGCTAATAAAAGGCTAGCTAAAAATAGCTAAAATCAAAATAAAAGCCAAAAGCTGTAAAGGGGGTTGCTACATGCAGCAAAAGGCTTGTTAAATAAAGCAAGCTAAAACAGCTAAACATTAGCTAGAACCTAGACTGGCCATTGCCTTCCTACACAGCTCCGCTCAATTCTAGTTCTATTTCGTGTAAGCTCCGCCCTCTAAGGCTATCGCAGATGGGTACCCCCGTGCGCGTACGCGCATTCTGAAGAGCCAATAGTCCACGCCCACGTTACGTGGGCCTCACCTCGGTCCGTATAAAAGGGGAGGACGGACCTGAGTTCAGCTCCCCTTTTTTCTTCAGCTTCGGCATTCTGCATGTACCATAGAAGACGCCCATACATGTAAGTGCTATGATTCTTTTATATTGACATGGAATTCATGTCCGGCGCCTCCAAGCTATGATCCGCTTAGCCGTCCTTCCGGGCTGCTCGGGGATCGGTTGTCCCCGGCACAACCCGTTTTTCACTCCGGTCTCCTTCCTCGGAARAAGGTTGATCGTGGTTTAGCTAGCATATATTTTCCCGCGGGTGCCCCTGCGGTGCGGTATTATGCTAAGCTAAGGCGCCGGACACCCTCGTGCCTCCACGGAGTCCCCGGCTTCTTCATAGCCGTGGTTTAGCTAGCATATATTTTCCCCGCGGGTGCCCCCGCGGTGCGGTATTATGCTAAGCTAAGGCGCCGGACACCCTCGTGCCTCCACGGAGTCCCCGGCTTCTTCATAGCCGTGGTTTAGCTAGCATATATTTTCCCCGCGGGTGCCCCCGCGGTGCGGTATTATGCTAAGCTAAGGCGCCGGACACCCTCGTGCCTCCACGGAGTCCCCGGCTTCTTCATAGCCGTGGTTTAGCTAGCATATATTTTCCCCGCGGGTGCCCCCGCGGTGCGGTATTATGCTAAGCTAAGGCGCCGGACACCCTCGTGCCTCCACGGAGTCCCCGGCTTCTTCATAGCCGTGGTTTAGCTAGCATATATTTTCCCCGCGGGTGCCCCCGCGGTGCGGTATTATGCTAAGCTAAGGCGCCGGACACCCTCGTGCCTCCACGGAGTCCCCGGCTTCTTCATAGCCGCTATTTAGCTAGCATATATTTTCCCCGCGGGTGCCCCCGCGGTGCGGTATTATGCTAAGCTAAGGCGCCGGACACCCTCGTGCCTCCACGGAGTCCCCGGCTTCTTCATAGCCGTGGTTTAGCTAGCATATATTCTCCCCGCGGGTGCCCCCGCGGTGCGGTATTATGCTAAGCTAAGGCGCCGGACACCCTCGTGCCTCCACGGAGGTCCAGGCTTCTTCATAGCCGTGGTTTAGCT